TGTGCTTTCAGTGGACTATTTTGTCTCCTTATTATTTTTAATGTTGTGTTTTTACACAGTGAAACTAAATAGTCATACTTCGGTTACTGTGTGTGGACTGAAAACTCCACTATTAAGCTCTTTTTAAAAAAAAGCATGTTAGGGGTTTTACTTTTGACTGCTGAAATTGCTGAAAATGTTGTGCTAATAGCCTCAGGCTATGTGTTCAGCAACTTGGATTAAACTGCTCATCCTTTTTACTTTCACAGTGCACAATGGCATCGGTATACAACCTCACTAAATCACCTACAATGATTTTTTTTAATGTAATAATACTGACACTTGGCTCTCTGGTGCATTCGTTTTCTATAAGAATAATATGTAAAATGAGAAAAATCCAAATGGCTTTCCCACCCACTCTGAGCTCTTTCTACCGACCTTTAAAATCAGACAGCAAAACTACTTTGTTTCTCAGATGGTTAAATATGAATATGAGGTGCAGTGTGTGTGCATCTCAAAAAGTCAGACCTGTGGACAGCCTTGCACAGTGATGGGCATGGCGGCCTGGTGCTGGGGCAGAGACACGCTGATGGGAACAGCAGGGGTCAGAGTTTGGACCGTAGGAGCTGGAGGCTCCACAGACACCACCTGCTGCTCACCCAGCACTGCAGGAGCACAGCCAGAGTTGGTTATTAATTACATTTTAAGTTGTTGATTTTTTTTTAAATCACACAGATGTTATTAGGAATTCACTACAAGTCTGGATATATGAGAAGTGAGTTCTCTGCTATCCAGCATTATCAAGGATGACAATGATTTACCTACACCACCCCCTGTGCCCTGGGGCACTGTGGGGCTGTCCTGGGTGCTGCTGGCATCAGGTTGCTCTCCAGCTTCAGCCACGCCCTCATCAGTTTTGCATTCGCTCTTCCCATCAGCTGCTGAAGAGGCTGAAGACGCATCGACTTCTACTTCTAGCACTCGAATGGTTTCATGGCCAGACATCACAATGACCTGCACAGCGATCAGGATTTTAATCTAAGAGGACTCAAATGCAAAGAAGGCCTCTGCTTTTCTTTGAGTTTGTATTAAAAATGTAATAAAATAGTTATGTGCAATTATTTTATGAAACAACAGGAGATAATTCTCATCTGACCTAGCACCAGAGGGGTGTAAAACAAAAATTCTGTAAATTCAGTATTTCTCCACCTTGTCAATTCCCTCTGGAAGAACTTAGCTGATGACTCATGGTATGCAATAATGACAGACCTAGTGGAGGGGCAGCAAGACAACCTGGGCTGGAGGACAAGGTGCAGAGAGACAATGCAGGAAGAGAGAGGAGGATGCATACCTGGTTGTCTTTGGCAGGGAATTTCAAAGTGCAGGATTTAAATGGCTGAAAAAAGACTTCTGCAGTCAGACAGTGAATGGCTAAGGAGAACAGAGAAGCCGAGCACATGTTAGGACAAAATGAACCAAACAAAAAAACAAAAAAAAAAAGAGACATAAATGAAAAGAGCATGAGTACACATAAACAATGATAAGAGCATCAGCCAACAAGCAGTTCAAGCAATGCTTTCTTAAAGGTTGCCTTTGTGCTTCTGTGAAGAGCATTGCTTTTGTTTGCTGACTATGTCTAGACACAATGTTACTAGAGAGAGAAAAACCACAATTAATTATTAAGCATGGCAATTCAAAGACTGTTTCCAACACAAGCATAGGTATTATTAGTCTATAAAACACAAAAGTGCATCGGGATCTCCGTGGTCTGCTGTGTGACTGTTAATCATTCCATTATGAAGTGGCACGCTGGCGCATGGAGGGTGACAGGAGCAAACAGCAGCAAACAAGTCGAAGGCAAAGTTATGTTTAGTTAAGCTCACTGCAAGAGTAGGATGGGAAGGGGGGGGGGGGTGTCCACTGCTCCCTAACAAACACATGAGTGTTACCTGCTCATTGACAGTAAGTGGGGCATCTTTGGCAGGCAGATCCTGGGAGTTCATGGCTTGCTGCACCACCACAATCACTGTCTTCCTGGCATTCTGGGTTAACAAAAAAGAAAAAAAAGTGATTTAAAAAATGTAGAACCATTTTAGAAATTAAAATATGTATCAAGTTTCCCGGATAAGCCCACAGTGTCTGCACTTTAATGACAAACCCAGCTTAAACAGAACCAAATGCAGAGGACAGGGTTTTTTTTTCTTCTTTCTTTTCAATTCATTGCTATTATAGTCATTGCACGAGTAGACTATTTGAAAGGGGCCTGTAAACAGGCCATACTGTTTTGCACTTAAGCTGCAGAAAACGTGATCAAACACGCTGGTCGTGGACGTTAAGTGGTTACGCGTCCACCACGGATCACAAAAAGACTCGAGACGGTGCGTTTCCTGCTGCAATGCCCCGTTAGATATGAGGATCTGTCAAAAACTTCAGCGGGTGTTGATGGGCTCCCCACCCCCATCCTGGCCAATAAAAGTCTCGCCGCGTCGGCCACTTTTGAGGACAAGCAGCAAGCACGGAGCACAGGCGACGGAAATCATCTCGATCCGTGCCAAGAGACCGAATATTATGTATTTCCCTCTCTTTATCATAAATATATAAATTATGCTAATTACGAACATTGCATATTAACCAAAACTCATTTCCTCTCGCCATTTCGCTGCTATGCGCGAAGCGCAAGCCAGAATACGGTCCGGTTATTATATTCAACTTACCGCGTATATGCAGCTTATTTTCTGTAATCCCCGGCTCTTAAAAAGGTCCTTGTCACAGTTTGTTTCAGTCACACATAATTAAAAATTCATCTCAGCTCCCAGACAGGCGCTGTGACTGCACACAAAAGAGGTATTTGCATTGATAAGGAGGCTTGCAATGTTAGGATCTCCTGTCTCTTAATATTTAATGACGATGCCCTTTCTGCAACAGTTCAGATAATCAAAAATCCTTGAGGTGTCTCACAGAATCCTATTTGAGCTGTAAAGTCGAACAAAATTGCTACAAAATTGGCCTTTTGCACTACGTCATGAACATAATTTATGCAAGAAAAAATCTTGCATTGAAAAATGTCTGCCTCGACTTCAGAGGTGCCATGGTTCTCTTAAAGGGGAAGTAGCGCACACAAAGACGAGCAATGGAGACGCTTTCATGAAACACTGTGCCGATACGTTTCAATTTCCCAACACCGCTGTTTGTCTGTAATATCATGATATTCGCATCGTTTTTGCGTTTATGTGAACGAGAATTAAAGTATTTAATATAACAGAAATAATTATGGAGACTTGTGGGCTTTCTTCTTAAAATGACGTAGATATGTTTTTTGTGGTTGCTTTATATGTGTTTCTCACTGGATTAAAACATTTCTGACTGATGATTGTCATAGCATATTTTTTTAAATTGGAAGATAATATATAACCTTTGATCATGGTGTAGACAGTCGTGCTATTTTGAATAATCCCGTGTTAATTCTGAATGTGATACATAAGGAATGAATGTGTAGTTCTGAGATCAAAGGTCATCATTTAGTTGATGAATAAATTAGTTGACTCACACAAAACTAACCATTTTAATAATGTTAATTTTTAGGTAACCCATCAGGATAAACAAATGCCGAAAATTAATATTTTTTATCGGCTTGGTTTGCCATCCCAATGATTTTCGGGAGTAATACTGACTGAGATTAATTGTATATATACATACATACTCAGAAGGCTAATCGGGACAGAGTGGAGACACCTGGGGAAAACAAGCTAAGGGTGCAGATAATCAAGATCACTAGACAGGGGAGGAAATAAAACTTAAAATAATACCTAAAAGACAACTAAATATAAAAGTAAAACAGGATATAACTGATAAGAGTTCATTAGTAAGCAAGTTTTACACAAGACAGCTTGTGTAGAGTGTTTCATGTTTATGAGCTATTCATGTTCATAAACATGAACATGAATAATGTTCATGTTTATGAACATGAATAGCTGAAATGACCTTAACATAATTGATTTATTAATTTTTGTTGATTTGTTGATGTCTTTATCTGGACCAAATTGTATATGAGGATGCTGTATAGGACGTGCAAGAGTATATTAAGGACACACAAGAAAATAGCAATGATGGTGTTATAATATTGTATATTTCTGTTATATTTTACTGGCCCTAAAGTACATATGTCAAACCCAAGGTCCAGGGCCCTTTGCAAATTGTGCCCAGCAATAAATGTAGGTTAACCTGCATAAATGTCTATGTCCATATATTTTCTAATTAGAAGGCAGTTTACATGTGGTACATGTGAACTTCCCAAAGATTAGATTTATTTTTATTATTGTGATTGTGATTGATTAAACAATATAAAAAGGAGGTAAATAGCATGAAATTCTGCTGATTTTTTTTTAGGCCTTCATGCGGACCGAATTGTGTTTGATATTACTGTATGGGACATGTACCAGCATTATCCAGGATCATTTTATGGTAGGATTGATTGTATGGCAAGAGTGACTGATGGGTTCAAGGTCAGGGTAGGATTACATCAGGGATGTATCAGGGAAAATGGTTCATGTGTTTAACTACCTTGAGTCAACTATCCAAAACAATGCAGTGCAGGGCAGAGGTGAAGAAAAGAGTGCAGGTAGGGTGGAGTGGGTGGTTTGTAAGCTGCCAAGCAGGAGGAAAAGAGGAGGACCACAGCGGAGAGTCATAGATGTAGTGAAGCAGGACATTCAGAGGGTTGGTGTAACAGAGGAAGATGGCAGGGACATGGTGAGATGGGGGCAGATAAGGTGGTGTCCAGCTCGTACATCGAGTATCCCGAAGATGAAAAAGAAAAAGAAGCAACTAGGTATGCATGACCCTTGATGTGAGCCCAACTTTATCAGTGTTAAAAGTAAATTTGACGCCCTCTGCCTTAAAACCAAGACAATCATTTTTCCTTCCGGCTGGCGGCTAACCTCTGCTCCATTTCTACCAGTAGGGGGCGCGGGCGTGCACGTAAAACCGTGCGTGCAACCGCAGATAGATAGAGAACGGGTGACGTCACCACTTCCACAACAACAAGAAGCTGAAAAACAAGGAAGTGGACGATTGTGTGAAGCCGTGACCTGAACTAAGGCCGTGAGAAGATACGCAGAGCTCCGTTTAACCTGATATTCTTCAGCTTCTGAATTATAACACGACAATGAACAACAAAGGTATTTCTCCAGACCTCGTTTAGGTAATTAGTCAGCTGTTCGCTATACGACGCTGACGTGATTAACTAGAGACGAAGAGCTGCCGTTATGGCTTTCCGAAGCGGACTTCACGTTTAGCCACGTACATAACAATAACCCGACGCTTCCTGGGTAACAGTGTGGCTCCTACTCTGAACCAAGGCGGCTATATTGTTAGTAGTGAAGCTGTTTACAGTGAAATCTTACATTTACTGTCTCTCTATATTCGTATACCATTAGTGGGCAGGTCACATGTTTTCTAGGTAGCTAATATCTCTGTAGACAGGCACATTTTAAAGGCACAGCTGACGTGACTCTTTCCTTCTCTTTTGTAGGACCCATCATATAAATATAATCGTGAGGCTCATTTTAGTAATATTTGTTTTCTTTTGTTGACAATTTACGTATTATATCCTCATATATTATTTGACTATTTTATTTAAACACACTCATTTCTTTTGTCCCCAGTTTCGTTCGTATCTGTACATTTTAACTCTTTAGCTTTTTGATGGTTATGATTGTAGTTGACTAAAAAGATGTATCGGCCATCTGTATCGAGGAAATAATATGTAATTGTGTAATTTAAGAGGAGAACGATATCGACATCGGGGATAGGAGGATTTCTTTTTTTTTCTTTGTCCGGAAAAGTTACAAAAATAACAACAACGATAAAAGCAAAATAAATAAATAAATTCCAGTCAGACAGGTTTTTATTTTCCGTGTCTGCGTTTGTATTGGCCTAGAGTTTCACAACAGACATACATAAAGTATTTTTAATTTGCCTATTATTGCCTTAGTTACAGTTTCGGTTTAAGAAGAGCAGTAAGTATGGAAAAAAAAATCCACCAGTCACACTTGTTAAGTTAAAACTGGAGAAGTGCAGTTCTTACTTTTAAATATTATTTTGCATATCAGAATTAATTAATTCCCTATTGATTTACTAATTGATCACTTGTAATGTCCCCCCCCCCCCTTTTTTTTAATGGAATTATTTTTTTTCTTTTCTTATAATAGTAATAATAAAACAAATTTTACTTAACATAACTTGTGTAGCCAAGAAACCCTGAATCTTATTTTTTTTATATATTCATTTTTCTCCTGTGTACTGTGAGTTGTTATAATCTGCTCCCGAAGAAACAGTTTGTTGGGGGTTTGTTTTGTTTTTTGTGGTTTTCTGTGATTATGAATATGTAACTATTGGGGAAAAAATATATTTGGGGAAATTTACATCTTACTAATAGGCTCTCAGGAGCCATCTTCAAGTTCACTGGACAATGGACATTGACCCCATAAGCAAAATTGAATGTGTTGCATTCCTCTATTGTCCACATTTAAACAAAATGACATTTTTATTACAGTAGAAAATGTATTAATACCACTAGGCACGACAGAGGAATGTTTGGTTCCGAAGAGTTTTGTTCTTTCTTAATTATTTCCTTTAATGTAAAATCTTTTATTGCAGGTTCATATCCACAGCAGGCTGTGTACCCTCAGCAGAGCTCTGCACCTGTATACCCTCCTGCTATGCAAATGTCTCCTCAGGCACCTCCTTACACAGACACACCACCTGCATATTCTGAGGTAACCAATCCGTATTTAAGTCAAATGATGAGCAGAGTTAAAACTCGCACTTACATTTATAAACAAAAGAAAAATCTGTTTTGTTCTCTGTGTCTCCAGATATACCAGCCCAGATATGTGCTTCCACCTCAGGTGCCTGGTCAGGTGCCTCAGATGTCCTCTCCCTATCCTGGTGCTCAGGTGTATATGCCCATGCAGCCACATATGCCAGTTGGGCCAGTGGGCCAGAATGTCCCCATGGCTTATTATCCAATGGGAGCAGTCTACCCGCATGGTTCAACTGTGATGGTGGAGAGCGGCTATGATGCTGGTGCTCGCTTCACAGCCGGCAGCAGTGTTTCCATCCCAGTGAGTGTCCATCCCAAGAAGTCATATCCACCTTAGATGAGATGCACTTTAAAATGAGGAACTCTTTAACTGTGTTTGTGCTTGTTTCTTTCCTTTGCTAGCCCCCACCTCCTGGACACCCCCCTAATGCCGCTCAGCTGGCTGCCATGCAAGGTGCCAATGTTGTAATGACACAGCGCAAGAATAACTTCTTCCTGGGTGGATCCAGTGGAGGTTATACCATCTGGTAACAGCAGCTCCTTCATGCCTAAACCATGTCCCCATCCCAGATGATGCCCCAGTTCTTCCCCATCCCATATGCCTCCCTCTTCAGGCTGCTTGGCCATGCCACAATACTGATATCACCTAACGGAATGTAATATTTTAGAGCCCTTGTGAAAGGTACAGTACTCCACTTCTGACCTAGAGATGAAATGATAAACTCCATTGCCTGAAGAGGACAAGTGAAAATTGTAATGTTACAGAATCCATTCCATAGTTCTTCATTGGGTCTAACCTTTTTGGTCATTCCAGATCTGACCTCTTTCAGGCATCTTTATTTGTCAACAAGATCTTCTCTTCTTTGATTGAATGGTCGCAAATTACACTGAGATGTTCTTGTACTCCTGTAAAAATACTTTAATGAAATATTGAAATATCAGACCCGCATAAATATAGTTTAGCTGCTTTATGGTGAAAGTGAAACGCAGTTACAAAGTTGCAGTAAAAAAGAAAAAAAAACATCCACTTGTCTTTTTTTGAAACTTTTAGTGTAGTTCAATTAATAGGTGTCTAGTAGTTCCATGTAAGTACCAGTATGATTATGAGAAATTACATCTCAACTATTTAAAAAAAAAAAAAAGGAAGAAAAAAAAAGTCAGCATCCTGGATGCTTTTAGCTAGAAATGTCTTGTCTTTTGCACAGTATCCAAAATACCACGGAAAATTTGTTGCACAGTGAACTTTCTGAGAGATTGTTCTATTTAAATCACATGTAAATTAAAGAAATTAAAGCAAAAAGAATAAAAAAATCAAAAGATTTACTGCAATATGAAAGTGGTTTACTGTACCTTGTTGGGCAACTTGTAGATGAACATAGTCAAGTGCCAAAGAGCACTGGGGATAGCCCTAAATTTAAGCAAATTAACTTCAGTAAACTTAAAGGAAAGAAAAATTAAAGTAAATCCAAATAGAAAGATGGATGGGAAGGGGTGGTTGGTGTAACATTTTAGCTTTTTTGTCTCCTGTTTCTATTTCACAGTCGGATACCCAGAGTTTATACACTAAATGTTTTATTGTACAGATTTAAACTACTTTTCATTATTTCCTTTTCACGCAGTATATCTTAGATCATCAAGTATTTATTCTCCACAGAAAAATGTCACCTTTTGTGATAGCGTTCATTTCTAGGTAACATTTTCAGCAAAGTTACTGAGACTTATATTTCAGTGTTTCTTTACTTTTCCACATTTAAGTGACTTACGCAAGTAGTTAGGCTAATAAATTTGTTAGTATAACCAATGAGCTGGTTGTACCAAAGATCTGGTCTACAATGCACTTATGTTTGGTTATTACGTCATATTTGAAATGTCACAATTTAAAAGCAAACTTTTCCTTGGACAAGAATTTGTGACACTGTTGGCCATTGGAACCTTTGGTCTGATGTGACTGCAATTGATAGTTAATGTGGGTAAACTGCATCTTTGAGTTGCTGCATACTTTTGCACCTTTGCTATGTACAAGTTAGATTAAAATACTTTTTATCTGAAATGCACTGCTAAGCAAAATGGAGGAGTTGCAGACAAGGGGCTTTTTTTTTTTCTTTTTTCTTTTTTTTAAAAAAAAAAATCAGTTTTCATGCTTTTTAGAAAGCTGTGATGTTTTGGGGATTTTTATTTTATTTTTTTTGTGTGGGTGGGTTTTTGTTTTTTTGTTTTTTAGCACTTTTCACATTTTAAAATTCATCCAGTCTTAACAATTTTGAAACTTTTGACATGTCACATTGTTCAGTTGCCTGCACGTGTATGCAAACCTTTTGCAAAGAGGCTAAATGACTGTCGGCATAATGTTTAATTTCCAGGATTTTTAAAAAGAAAAAAATTTAATGCTGTTTAAACTCGTTTCCTTAGGGTCGTTACATCTTACATAATCTGGCAAACTGAAAGAAGACTGCTAAACATAGGCAAGTTGCCTGTATGGATACCATCAGCTAATATTTGTAGACTTGTTCATTTGTGTCAAGCGTCAATGTGTCACTGGGTATCCGACATAGCATATCAAGTTTTAACAGCTGTGGCCGCCAGAAAACAAAACCTGTTTTCTTGTCAACCAACATTTAGTGTTTTCAAGTGTTATTTAAGTCAGAAGAATCATCTGTCTGGAAACCTGCATCACTCTTCTAATAAACCTCTCCTCTGCAGCTCATACATAAAGCTGCAGCACCAGATGTGACAGTCATCTCCATGTCCATTTATTTACCCGCTCATGCTGTCATTTCATACAGCTTCATTGGAAAAGGAGGCCACAGCTATCAAAACTTAGAAACTGTACAAACGTTATCTTTTTTTTCCCATCTATGCTCTGATTGTTTGTAAAGCAGCATAACAGTGGCTTTGTCCCAGCAATATGAAGTACTGTAATTTACAGCTGACCAGTAGATGCTATGCCAACCACAGCCAGCAAAAGGAGCACTCTTTGTTGAAGGATTATGGACATTTATAGTTCAGGGATTCTCTTTACAATATTTTCTAAAATAGATGTATGTACTAAAGTGATGTGATGGACTTTGGTACACATTCTATCTTTTAAGATTACTAAAGGAGATGAGTGTCACTACAGTTTGCTGAGACATGTCAAAGATGGAATACTTTGAAAAAAGAACTTAGGTGCACTTAACTTTTTTATACTAAACTTAAAATTTAAAATGTAAGTTTAGAATAAAGGTTATTTTGGAAATTTGAAACATAGCGAAGTCTTCCTTTTGTGCATCAGTCACTCCATTTTCTGAATCGGAGCAGGCTAACCAGAGTATTCCAGATGTTCTTCTCCCCGCAACATTTTTCACTTCATCTTCAGAGATCCCAACACGTTCCCAGATCAGGTGAGATGTATTTTCTCTCTAGTGTATTATGGGTCTCCTACCAGCTGGACGTACCAGGAAATCCTCCAACGCAAGGTGCCCAGGAAGCATCCAATTAGGTGTTGCGATCAACTCGCTCCTCTAGTATAAGTTTGGATGTCTGAGCTTCTGATCTTATGTCCAGGACCAGGCACCCTGCATAGGATATTTGATTCAGCCATGTGTCCACCACCTCATTCCTTCTTTTGATACCCAGAGCTAATGGCCATAGGCTCAGCTGTCCTCACCATAATGGTATGGCGTACTACCTGCATTACTGCTGATGCTGCACTCATCCACCTGTCCATCTCATGCTCCATTTTACATTACACACTAACAAGATCCTAGAATACTTAAACTCCCAAACCAAAATGAAGCAAATCCACTGCTTTCAGTTCATTGTTCTTACACATTTATGATGCATTACAACATCAGGCCAATTATTTCTGTACTGTCCTATAAGAATGGAAAATATTGCGATTCTGGTTATTGTAAATTAAGAAATACGTCTGAAGGTTCTCAGTCATCCAGGTCATCGTCGGCTAAGAAGCTTAGGAAGAAAAGTGTCTGGACTTCTTTAAGTTGCTTGAAAACGTTTCACCTCTCATCCAAGAAGCTTCTTCAATTCTAGGGTCAAATGGTGGCGAGTCCCAGATTTAAGCCCTATGGGAGTGTTCCCCCAACAGGGACATGGAGCCCTGTTGATCCTCTTCCTAATCAAACGATGCAAGATGTGAAAACGGGTGTAGGTCACAATCAGCCACGGTAAGGTTTCGGGTGAACCCGCTGTGAAACCTAGCCCCACCCTATCATGTGATTTCCTGAGGTCAAAAGGCCCAGGATGTGAGTGGGCGTTAAGGCGTCTGGGAAGGGATGTTAAAACTGGATTACAGGTGGCAGACAGTGTCGTAAACCACCCTCTCTGTTCAAAGATGGTCGCTCACAGTGGACATAGATGGCTTGTAAATTAAGGAATTTCTTTCCTGACTAAACAGCATAACAACATATTGGTTTGAGCAGGTTTTACATTACATTGGATGTAGCCAAGTGTACCTATTCAGTCTAATGTGCAGTGTGCTAGTGCATTGTCTGCAATGTCAGACTGGGGGCAGCAATGCATTAAAACATTCACACACTGTCACACGGTAATAACACTCGTCCAAAAACAAGTTTAATTGACTTCCACATTTATCATAAATAAGGAAGTAACCAGCAACCATTTCAGGTATACAAAACACAACCAAGAACAAGAAATATTGTGTAGCTGTCCTGTTCTATTGAAAGATAACCACTTTCTTTGACCAGCTTATAATAAAAGAATTGCATAAAAAAGTATTTCTTAAAAGCAAATGAATATGAAAGTAACAGCCCATAATAGCACCAGAAATCATCTTAAACATAGTTTGAGAAAACTACGGTAACTAAGTGAAATGGCAAATAAAGAGAAATTTAAATGTGGATGATAAATATTACATTCAAGGCGCTCCTTTGATTTGACTGTTTTGCATTTACTGATCATGTAACTATTTTGTGCTTAGCTCTGCTAACCTGTGCACAACTTCAGCTTTCACCTCCTTCAGCCAATCAACATTCACCCTCACAGTGGTACTCTTTTCTTTGGTTTCACTTGCATTTTTAAAGAAAAATATCTTCAACAAGGTTTTTTTTTTCTCTGCACAGTGTGCTGCCAGTAACGGGTTTCCCTCAAAACACACACGCAAGGAAATAGTTTTCCTTCTTATCACACTTCCACAGATCATTTTCTTAAGCTCAACTAACTCGCTATAAGTCTTCCACCAGGTTCATATAAAGTATTCCTTCTTTTCGGGTGCAGGCTTGTTATTGTCCTCTTCATCGGGGTCCTCTCCTGGAGCCAGCTCCCCTGTCGTCCTGTAGTCCCCTCTGTTGTGATACAGATACCGGCAGAGCACAAAGCTCAAAGCAGCTAGTGTCAGCAGAATGAGAATAACAACAACTGTGGGGGGGGGAAAGGCAGGTTTAGAAGACACTTTGAACTGCAGCAAAAAAAAAAAGAAGAAGAAATAAATCTCAAGATAAAGTGCAAACAGTTACCTGCAATAACTGCAGAGTCTGAACTTGCTGGAGCAACTGTTGTTAACACTGAGGGAAAGAAAATAGAACATTTAAAAAGAGTTTACCAAATACTCTGAAAATCAAATGTACAATAGTAAATACCAAAATAAATACAATTCAACAAATTGATGCTTCTAAAGGAATAAAAGTACAACAGAAATACACAAAACTTGAAAAAAAAAGGATAAACAAATGCTTAAAGAAGTGTCATAAAAAGCTGCCACACAAAGTCTACAAAAATGTATTTTCAGAAGTGATCTAAGAAGTCAAGAGACCCCTAAAGCACCATCAAAAATAAAATAAAAATAAGCAAGTATGTAATAAGTTACATCTGCTTTCATTTCTAAGGCTTTACGAATCAGTACATGAAACACTATGTAGTCCTTACAAGATCTTTAAAAACAACCTGTGAAGAACAACACATGACATGTTACACCGTGTCAGCATTTAGCATAAACTGAGCCAAAATGCAGAAGCAGTATGTGGAAGAACTAATTATATGGCATGCGTGATTCATCGGTTTGTGGAACAAACTTTGGCAACAATAAGCAATTATTTTTTATTTCACTGTCATTATCTCACTTTTGGCACAGTGTTGCTTCAGTTCAGTGTTGGGGGTCTCTTAGGGTCCCACCATAGCGTTTCATTTGGGTCGAGGTCTGGACTTTGACTGGGCCACTGCAACACCTTGAATCTTTTCTCTTTCAGCTATTTCTTTTGTAGATTTGCTCCTGTGCTTAGGATTATTGTCCTGTCGCATGGCCCATTTTTGGCCAAACTTTAGCTGTCGGACAGATGGGCCCAGATCCTGTGGCTGTGTAACAAAACCAAATCATCACCCCCTCCACCACCGTGCTTTACAGCTGGTATGAGGTGTTTGTGCTGATATACTGTGTTTAGTTTTCACCAAACACGGTGCTCTGCATTATGGTCAAACATACTCAGCGTGGTCTTGTCTATCTAGAAGGACAACATTTCAAAATGATATGGGGTTTGTTGAGAACTTTGCAAACCTAAGCTTTGCTGCCATATTTGTTTAGAGAAAAAAGGCTTTCTCCTGGCAAAACTTTCAAAGAAGTCATACTTGTTCAGTCTTTTTCTAATTGTACTTTCATTAACTTTAGGGTGCTAACTGGAGCCTGTAGAATCTGGTTTGTTTTCTGTAGGTTCTCTAATCATTGCACAGTATGACGGTGAATTTGGTGGGATGTCAACTCCTGAGAAGATTGGCAGCTGTCCCCACACACTTGCACACACACCTGAATGCTCCAGAGAGCAAGCTACCAAAGCATACGTGTTTATATATGTGTCTAGACTTGCTGATGATCAGTTCATTAAGCTGCATTGTCTTCATCAATTTTGGAACAGCCAGTAAACCCATATTGGAGGACCTAAGGTCCAGAACTGGCTAATGCAGAGTAAAATCTTCTATGCATTTTGGGACCAATAACAGACATATGTTAAAAAGGATCAGTAAAATCCTAAAAACCAATTCTAAAGTATACAGAGAGCCCAGGAGATTTTTTTTTCCCCTTCGGTTTTGAGAGAGTGGATTTTTATTTGAAAGAAGCAGAATTGGACAGCTTTTTTGTGTGTTGTTTAAAGGTTGGGAGGGATTCAAACTGCAATAATTTCACGCTGAAGGCATCAAATTAGCAGACAAGGAACCTAGGGCACTTTCAAAATGATTTGTACTACTGAACAGTTCGATTCTTGATTTTGAAGTATTTCGTTGAAGAAAAAAGTCACACAACAAGAGCTAAGTAGACGTGCATCACCAGGATATACTTCTACTTCTGTGAGTTCAGAAAGAGACAACCAGTAAAGGAAAACATAAAACAAAAAGCTTTCGAGCATACCCTGAATGGTAGTGGATTCTGTTTGTGTGGGAAGTGATTCAACAAGCGCCACACCTGGGGCTGAAAATAAATGGGGGAAGAAAAAAAAATATAAACATTATTTATTAAAATAAGAAAAACTATAACTAAAGGTCACAATATCAGAACATTTGTTGGTTGTGTCTAAGCAAAGTAAAAACAATCGTAGTGAAAGACAAATGTACTTACACACTTTATTGCTTTTATATGTGGTGGTAAAGGCTGTTGTCAAATTCTCGCTATCTGTATCTGGAAGATAAAAAAAGCATGTTAAAAATGTCACAGCGCTCTATCTTCAGCTCCCAACTCTACTGAGAGTGGCTTGTGTAACACCACAGCTGCTGGCTGAGGAGGGAATATTCACTGTTGAGACACAGTAATCTGATTATTATTAAGGGCTGGGACTGAAACAAACCTGTCCAACTCCTATTTTTCTGAATAGCTGTGATGCAATGGTATTAGTCAGAGCACGGAAAAGAGAAACACGTTACTAGTAACTGTAATATAAAAACTCAGAGCTGCAATAATCACAGATTTAACAGAAACAGCAAGAGCGCCATCGCTTTGGGGCCCTTTTTTTTTTTTTCTGAGCTTTGCATTGCAGCAAATTTAAATTTTGTGGTTAAAGCAAGACAAATAAAGATGTCATTTTGGGTTCTATGTTATTACAGACTTATAGGCAGCTTTAATCAATAAAAGTTTATAGTACTTGTGAGAATGGTCAGTAATAAAAACATAAAAAAGACATATATGGATTTTTATATCTTGTAAAAAAGAAAATACAAAGAAACTATTAAATGCAGCTTTACTATATAGTTATTTCAATAATATTTTCACATTTAAAGAAGACTTTTTAAATTCCCATTACACATGGTTTGTTTCATTCAACAAGTCAAAACTGAACACAAAGGATTTACAATATAGTGTAATATAAGACCAGGAAAAGGAAAGCAATCTTGTATTTATTTACTTAAATAATCTATTTACATAATAGCTGCCAACTAACTTTCACTGAAGTGATCGGTTAATCGACCAGAGTGGAAGCTCTACGATGGTTAAGTTGAAATGTTAGCCAACAAGAACTACTCGAGTAAAAGTAGATTGAAACTTTACTTCTCCAAAACGCAACAATATATCAAACTGTCAGATGACACCTGTAACAAAACAGGAAGAAAACAATAAAAGGCTACATAGTACAAAAAGAAAAGAAAAAAAAGATAGAGCTTACGATTCATGGTTGGTTATTGTTCTCACCGGTTATACCTGAAAGAAAAACACAAACTGTAAAAACAGACAACGAGCTCATGGTGATTTCCGCTCAGAGCTTTTCCAACATGTTGATGTGAATCTGTCACACATGTTTTCTCAAACCGGTCAACACCTCGTTCCTCGGCTTTGTTACCAACGCGTTTCGCAGCCCAGCTGTCTTTTTTTTATCACAGTCAACCATCTGACTGTTTTTTAAGGAGCCCTCAACTGAAAATGTACTTGTTTGGTACAAATCCACCTAAAGCCCGGGGCAAAAACCGACGAGTGAGTAACACACACTTCCAGAAGAAGTTTTTACACTTCTCAAACTCGAGCTGATCAATCAGGCATTGTTCATCGCAGCTGTTGAGTGAGCTTACCTGTCTGGGCGCAGCGCAGCGGAGGAGCGCGTCACAAAACCGGACAAATTCACTGAGTTTCCCCCCCCTCCTGGGAGAGCTTTTATGGTGGAGAAAACTAACGCCCACTGCCTTTTTTTAAGTCTGGTAATCTAACCGGCGTGCGGCTCTGGTAAGGGGCCTGAATCTGCGTCTGTTGAATACAGTTAACTAGTCACAGTTTTCCTTCCAGCACTCGTGAGTCATAAAGCACACGCGCTCAGTTTCCGCCTCCCCCTCCCTTTCCTCCATGTCAAAGATCGTCTCTCATCAAGATGTATCACTTCCACCACGAACCCCTTTAATAAGGGTAAACCGATGATAATGATGACTAATTACTATGGTTTAATAATAATTACTTATGCAATGGGTTACATATGTCATTAGTTATGAATTATATACAGCATAGTTTTGTGTATGGTGTCACAGATGACAAGATATTTGGTTTAGTGTACGCGTTAACTCGTGGTATTTGAACGTAAACCACAATCCTTTGCTAACCCAACCAAAGAGTAAGTGAAAACAGAGTCAACAGTGAGTAGGAAAGGACACAAACCAGCTCTCCAGGTTTACATGTTTGATTTGCAGCTTCAGTCGCCTCCCCACCGGCCTACTTCACACTCCTTGCAAACAAGATTTACAGCATTAGTTTCAACTTAATAGCTAGCCGCCTGTAATGTTTATGGCTCTTTATGTTTATGGTATGTATTAATCATTTACAAAGACTTTATAAATGACACACTATGACATTGTCAAGTGTTTTAACTTTGCAGACAGTGTTCTAGTACATAGCCAACAATCAGAAAATAACTAATAGTTGAAATAAATTTAACTATTTCATTATTACAATGGTATTATAAACTATTACCTGTTGAAATACATTTGGGTCATTATTATTATTAGTAGTAGTATTAGTATTAGTATTATTTAACATTGTTTTAATTCTTAAAGAATGCCAGAACATACATCGATTAAGTGAAGTTAAAAAAAAATTTCTTATGACAACATGTACTCTAAAAATATTTTACTAATCCTGAACATAATTTTACTTGTGACAAAGATGGCCCTGGTTAGCTGGCCCTAGTGTAGAAATCTATGTAATAAAGAATCCTAGTTATGTCTGGGGTTCTTTATTACATAGGTGTAGGTGTATCTCCTTAAAGCAATTTTATTTTACATTATGCATAAATATGGGGGGCTGAGTCATGACAGATTATTTAAATATGTGATAAAGTTCACATTGTTTGCACATACAGCAGGAACAATCTTAAGCTGAAATAGCCAGATTGAAAACCTCTGTAGATGTAGTTGCGCTTGGTAAGCGTTCTTACACGTAAGCATTCATTTGTCATGTGTAACGGTCACCAGTAAAATCCAGTAAGTAAGTTAGCAGCTGTCTAACTGAAAACAAAACTGCTTGTCGTTCCACATCAAGAAGTGAGACACACATTGGGCTCAGATGACCACAAGAAATTTCAGGAAGCTGTCCCTTCATGTTGTTTCGTTATAATAAAAGAAACATAAGCTAAAACGTGTGTATATATATAATCAAACCTTTCCAATACTGTCTAATCAATTATGTTATTTCACAGATAATTTGTCATGACAGTCAAATCATTAAGCAAGCAATGTTGTATACATCTGATGAGTACTGAAGTCCAGGCTGAGTGAGCGCTCACCATTTTCCACCCCATCATCTTAAACATCTACTAGCAGAGAGACAAAATGGTGACATTACCCAGTTTTTATTGCCGTTTACACAATGTTCTTATATCCTGTGCACATATACATCGAATAACCCAAAAATTAAAAAGTCAGAAATTCAGCTTTAGTATTAACAAAATTTGAACTATGTTTATTTTTCAGAATTACAAAGTTTGTCCTCACACTGCAGGCATAATTAATAAAATCTAATCAAAAACAAATAAAAAGAAATAATAAAACAGACTAAAAGGCTAAAATGATTAAAACGCCTCCTTGTTGGTTCCACAATAAGAGTGGAGTGGCATTCTCTTCACGTTTACACAGAGACAGAAACATATCATATCTGTGTTGAATGTAGATTAACCATTCTGTGGTCAGTATCTTTTTAGCAGTGTAAGCCTATGTAGAGCTTCTGTCTTTGCTAGCATTAGTTGTATAAATCCCTCATTTTAAAATGTATTTGCTTTAATAATGCAGTGAGTGAGTTTATGAAAATATAGGTTTTCCCAAAGACACCAATATATATGTGAAGTTGATTTCCTTAAAAGATAAATAAGAAAACTAACAGCAACAGTTTGTCAGTTGTGAAATCACAGTTGAACTTGTCAGTTGCAACTGTCGCCCTGTCTTTTTTTCTTTCTTCTGCAGCTGTTGACTTCAGTCAGTTCGGCGCTGTTTGGTTCTGGCGTTCAAAGGTTGATGATAAAGTGAGTCAAATGAAGAAACGCAGACAAAGAAAGAAGAGAAATAATAATATGGCATCTTGTAGAACAAAATGAAACACACAAACCTTTTGTTTTATTATGAAAACTTTAAACCATTGTGTTTTTTGAGTTCGAGGATATCTCTTTCTCTGCAGGGACGTCCTACATAGCACACCCATAAAAAAGAGAGTTATGACACAATATGCATTAAAAAAAAAAGAACAGCTGCACCACATGTGTGCTACTCGAGTGACAAACCTTCTGAGGAATGCTCAGATCCTTGGCGTCAGAATTCAAGCCAGAAGCGTCACCATTCTCCAGTCTGTTCAGTTTTGGAGTTTCCAGGGTTACCGGGCTGTCGTCCGTCTCTTCAATGTGCAGTGGGCCATTGTCTGCTGCAGACAGCTGGAGCTCCAAGCTATCTGATTCATAGGAGTTATTTTGTTCAGAGCTGCTTGCACTTGGTAGATCTTTTTTTCCATCTCCTTTATTTTCCGATTCTACGGGCGGCTTGGGCTCTTCTTCTTTCACAGCCTTTTCTCCTTCAACTTGATTGTTGTTGTCTCCCGACTTCAGCTCACTTCCTGATGCACTCTCTACAGCATCTTCCTGTGCAGAAGGGCTGTGGACCTCACTTTGGTACGACCCTACATCCAGTTCCCTGGACTCGACTAAAGACCCTCTAAGCATGCTGCCTTCTCTGGACAAGGTGCCGTGTCGAGGTTTTTCCGGGGATCTGAAACTAAACCGCTGGCTCGTTCTAGGACTTAAGCTCCTGTGAACCTCAGAAAAGCTGGCCTTCCAAGCCTTTGGAGAGATCAGACTTCGTCTTTTCAGTGAGCCATACCTGGAATATATAGTGAGAGAGAGGGAGTGAGATAGAGAAAGATCAAATCATGGAGATAAGAATGCAGTTCAGTACTGTGGAGTATTGCCAGAATATGGTGGAACAAATGAATAAATGAATAAAGCTTTATAACAACAGTGCATTTAGCCATAAAGCACAATTAAATGCTTTCTGAATCTGCAAAAGTAATAATTAAAAGAAAATGCTGCTTGTATTATTACTCTAGGAGAAGATGTGACTATGGCGGGTAATTTCCACATTTTTCTGAAACTGTAATGAGAAATTAAAAATGTTTTTCATTTGGAAATTGCCTTCAAGCTTTAAAGTTAAGAATTTAAAAAACTCTCACCGGGACAATCCTTTTACAGCAAATGCTTTGTCTGGATGCTGAGCCTGCAGCTCCTTTATCACATTTTGTAGATCTTGATTGAGCTAAAATAGAAGATGGATGGTTAAAACAAAAAACTCAGGACAATCAATATTGGGTCACACATAAGGGAGCAAACATACCGTACTCATTTCCTTGTGGAAGATGTCTCGTAAATTTGACACAGCTGAGAAGACAGCTACGTAGCATCCAATACGACTAAAGGAGACAAACATTGACAAGTAATGTTTAAAAAAAGATAAATTGTTGCAAATTCAGTGAATATTTGAATAATATGCAATACTGAATAATCTTCATATTCATTCTGACAGAATAAATATATACTGTCAGACCTGTCAAAGAGAACTGGGAGCTCCTCTTTCAGATCGTTATTGATCCCCTCATAGATAACTTTGGCAGTATTCATCTCTTCTTTTGCCTGCAGAATGACAAAGCAAGTCAATTTCAATGCATGTGTTATAACAAATTAGGGTTGATTACAAAGAGATATTGATGTTATTCTAATTACCTTGCTTATCTTGACATCATCCCTCTTTTTCGCAGTCTGCAGTGCCTCTAGCTGGTGAAGGGAGGAGTCGTAGTCAACCAGCTTTCTTCCCCTCTTGGCAATTTTGTCCTACAGTTTTTACAATGGAGCAAAACAGAGTCATACATATTGTCTATGTATATGTAAGTGAATTATAGTACATGTTTGTCTTAACTTAGTTTTGTGCATTTGCTCTCAGGCTCTTTGTCTGTCTGAATATTGACTTATGTTTGCTTGCATACTTGTTTGCCTTACCCTAACATCAGGGAATTGGCTCACGTAGGACTCCATGGTGCGCACAGCCTGGTCTAATAGCTTCACCTCGTAGTCATTCCACAGGAGGTCCTCCCCCTGCATCACAAGTACAGCATAAATATTGCATTAATTATGCATAACAAGGGGAAAAAATGTGGGGTCTTGTTCCCCTGGTGATGCATGCATTTCGCTGTTTTTGCACTTGTGGAATTAAAATGTGCTGCAATAGGTCTTTTTTTTAGTACCACTGACCTCAACAATGGCTCCTAAATCTTCCTCTCCAGCCCAGTCAGATTCATAAACATCAAACAGAGACTGGGAAAGGCGTCTTGAAGCTTCACGCATGTCTGTATAAAGCAGAATCGACTATTTGAGACCTGCAGAGGGCACAAATCTACAGTTCTACAGCATCTTCAAACAAAGACTATTTTCACCTCTAACTGCATTAACGTAGACCCTCAAGTCCTTGTATATTCGGTTTCCATCAGTCTGCAAATAAAGCATAAGTATACACGTGATTATCTTGCTTACCTTTATTAACTTTTATGATGTTTGATTCACTGCTTTTACTCAATAACCCTGTGTTTGCATATACTGCAAAATGTGTTAAGACAGATATGAAAAACTTTCTGCTCAAAGTCTTTTTCAACTCCCATAATAAAAACAATGCTGGGGGATGATTACCTGCTGGTCACTAAAGTTTTGGAGACAATGTTCAAAAAGGTCATCTCTGGTCTCCATTGACTTTCCCAGCCTTTGCATTACCTGCAGATAAAGCACAGAAAAAAGCTAAATCTCAAAGTAACAGCAATTAAATGGCAATAAATTTGTCTTTCTTGCCATAGGGGAAACAGGAACTTGCAGACTATGTACCTTTTCTTTGCCTCTGCTCAGCTGTCTTTGGACTTTTTTAGCAAAGTCACCAGAATTGCCTCTCGGACTTGTCTTGTCTGCCATATTTTGTCTTGTCTGTGTTTATTCCTAAGAGGAAAAAGAGAAAAAATATCACAACACTTTCCTGCAACATCACAATTACTAGGTGTACTTCTGCAGAATGTCTGGTTCAAATATATTTTGCCTGAAAGCATTGTTACCTTTGTGGCTGTTATATCACAGTATTAATTTCAATTTGTTGCACCTTCCATACAAATTAAATGCAATTCAAGTGATTACAAGTGATGGAAACACACAAGATGGAAATCACAGGTTGGGAAATTAATGCACACCAATATAGTATTAATATAAGAGAATAAAATGGGTAAAATCAGTAAAATCAGGTTTAAAATGTGCATAACTACAGTTAATAGAATGATACAGGATACATTTAATTCCTAGCCGTATTTGTAGGCAACACACACTGATGACACTTGTATTAGTAACAAGAAATCAACAGACTAAATGTGGAACAAAGACACAATGTTTTATATTGTGTGGGACAATTAGTTAAACATTCATGCGTTGTCTTCTTTTTTTTTTAATCACAAAACAGCTGAAGTACTGTTATTTGGCACTTGGCAGATTACTCTTTAAAATTACTGTATGTATTCTTCCTTTTTATGGCCTTATGTACAAGTCTGATGTGCCTCTGCAATTTTTTGTTTTAACAGATCATTGACCATGTGCCTAAAACTAAATTGCAGGACCCTTGCTGCATTGGCAGGAGCCACATATAAATAAAGCTACTGTATATATGTGTGGCGGCAGGGTGTGGTTCTGGTTTTGGCTCAGCTGTGGGGGAGAGATGAAGCAGGAAGTTCAAGGTTCACTGCAGAGGAGAGGCTGACTGGGACAGCTGTTGCACATGGACTAATAAGTCTTTATGCAGCAGCACGCTGGCACCAACGCAGGATGGAAGCACAGACAATAGCTGGAAACCAACTGAGAAATCTAACCCTGCACATGGCAGTGCAGGGTTGTCACAATGTGCACGACTGGGGAAAAAACCCACAGTGCTAAAGTGCGAACAGTTTTTGCAAATAAACAATAGTGGCCAATACAAAGCTGAGTCTGTGTGTCAGCAGACAGAGCAACAAGTCATTGAAATAATCTCCAGATTAGCGGCATTTAAGTCACATACACATTAATGTATCACGGTTTCCAAGATATAATGTTTAAATTCTTTGTGACAGTAAATACCAATAACAGCTCAAGCTGATTTAATGTTGGTGAAAATTGTGTCAAGGTCACAAGCAACGTGAAAATGAGTAAAAACTTTTAAAATATCTTCAAACTTCACAACAATATACTAGGCCTTGGTGATATGAGTACCTAGGGTTAGTATTTTACCTTCACCTTCATTGTTAGCACTTAAGGTCAAAGTTGACCTTGAAAAATAATTTCAAGGAAATGTATTGAATATGAAAGGGCATGGAGAGAATAAAATGCACTTCGCATTTTTCCAGTCTGACACCCTGCGTCGTCACAAGTTGACATCATTGTATTGTAAAACTCAACATTTTAGTGTTTAGTGTTACCCTTCGGGGGAAGTTGTGCTCTCTGAGGACTCTTGACTTTTCTGGGCCTTTTGGAAAAATCCTGGAAACGCCCCTGATTCCACTGGGGGATTATAGAAGGCCTCAAGTGACAAAATGAATTAAATAAATGCATTTAATTCATACTAACTGCGTCATTATTAATTGAAATCAGAAATAAATAAATAACTTGTGAAATGATTTAAATAAATTAAATTGATATCTAGTTAACATTGTATATAACTAATTTATTATGTCAAATGTAATTAATTATTTATTAATGCATTGACTTAACTTGTTTGGCACTCGGAGTCTTCCATACAGGGCAGCAGCTTATGGAACTTGCTTACATCACCTCTTAGAACGACAATACCCAGAAATCCCTGCGGCAACCCACTTCCAGCAGTGTGATATTGGTGAACTTTCGCCTACACGGAGTGTTTTTATTACTTTTGGCGTAGGAGGAGTGGTCTTATGACAGAGTCGCGGATTCCTTTGCTACTCGCCGAGCTGCAGGACATGATCATGGGGAGCGTTCTGGCCAAATGTGCCATCACCGACCTGGGCATCCAGTGGGCTGGCTGGGCTCTGGCTGCGGCTTTCAAAACCGAGAAGTTTTATGACTTGGCAGGTAATCTGAAAACCCGTTTCCTAAACAGTAATTTACGACCCTGTATTGACTGCTTTTGCAGCTTTGCTTGTCTGTCAGTGAAGAACTGCAACTAAAAAGTGCTCGAATTCCACTCGACTGAAAGCGAAATACATCTAAAGGGGGAACAGTCGATATGTCTGATCCGTGTAAAGGATTTAATTTGTAAAAGTGTGTTTTGCACTTAAAGAAGACTGATCATTACAAAACCTGCATTATCTAAAACAGCTTTGTTGTGAAACAGCGCGGAAGGAGCTCCTCCTTTGGCTTAACAGGCGCATGTGTCAGCAGGGGCGTGCACAGCTATCCTGGGTTGAATCAAAAAGGGTGCTTTTTAAGGGCCCCCATTAAACAATTTGTAATTAGTTTTAATCATGCAGTGGTTAAAAGAGAGAGAGACAGAGAGAAAGCTTAACAGCATTTCATATGGCTGTAGGGGGATATTAGTGTCATATTTAATCATTTTTGCATTTTGTTACTGCACAGCTGACAGAATTACCCAATGAGTCAGTAAGCTAGTTTACAGAAAGAACTGAATGTTATTGGATTTTGTGCAGGTTAATACAGCATCATGTAGCCCATATTATTATCAATAACACACATTACAAACTTTCTACCTGAGAAAATAAGTAAGATGTACAAATTATTAAAAAATAAATGTTAGTTGCAGCCTGGTGTGACTTTGAATCTGCCTGTGATATCTATCTATTAAAAAAACGTAAGCTCACAATCAATAAGGAAGTATAGAAATGAACATAGTCTGCCTAAAGTTAGTTCTCAAACATTTGTCAGATATAGACTGACGTTGCTTACCTGTTCACGCCAGTGACTGAATTAGAAAAAAAGAAATCCCAAATTAATCACCTTGACACTTCTCTTTTACTCGTCTTCTTCTGGTTTTCCAACTCCGCGCTGTTCTCTTGTGTATTTGTACCCTTGAACTTTGGAACCAATTGTCTGCAGTATCCTGAGTAAAAGATTTATCGGACACACCTTAGTCTGCAACAAGTACAGCCACCAGCCGTGCCCACTTTCAAACCACCCTCACTCTACAACTCTGTCTCTCTCTACAATTTTCCAGGCTCTGGCACATTTATACTACTTGCACACCTGAGTCGTATCTGGGGAGGGGCCAGTCATACCCGGCAGAAGGTGCAGACAGGGTTGGTAACAGCATGGGGACTCAGGTAAGGCAGTCAGTATTGATGCTAAGTGCCAAACACCTCTTGACCGCTCTGCTACGCTAGAAAACTAAACAGAGATATGAGCAGGTTATATGTTTTTTTTATCAGAGTTTTGTGTAATTTTAGTCCTAGAGGGTCATTGGTGAGGTCAGAGGAACTAATGCATGTGAGACTTTAAAGCCAGGTAACTCAGGTTAATGAATAATGGCTTGGTTAATGTGAAAAGACTTTAAGTATGTTTTTTCTGCAGGCTGGGGACATTCCTCTTCATGCGGATCTTGAAGGACGGTCATGATCGCAGGTTTAACAATGTTAGAGACAGCCCTGGGACATTCTTTGTGTACTGGACTGTTCAAGGTACTTGGAAGTAATGTAAACACCTCTTTCTTGTTACCAGAGTCCTTGACCAACTGCACCCAAGTGAAGGGAGACTTTGCACAAATAAATCACCGTCTAGTTTCTGGCTCTTTATATGTATTTATTCTAGGCAAGAGCTGTTGGTTACAGTTACATTTATTTCATGGAAGTATTAAGGTTATGCTGTTTGAAAATCATACATTTTTTTCCTCCATTCTTTCAGCTGTGTGGGTATTTATGACCCTCCTGCCCACCCTCATGCTGAACAGTGAGAAGCGAAATGTGCCTCTGGGAACGAGGGACTACATTGGCTGGACCATTTGGGGCCTTGGCTTTGCTACAGAAGCTATTGCTGACCAGCAGAAATGGGTTTTCAAGCGTGACCCAGATAATGCTGTAAGTGAGGATAACCCTAAACTGTATTAATGTCTCACTCACCGAGTGTTGTAACTGTACTGTCCAATTTACTTTCTCACCTCCAGGGGAAGTTCATCCAGAGTGGACTCTGGGCTTACAGTAGACATCCTAACTACTTTGGAGAAATCCTGCAGTGGTCAGGTCTCTGGCTCTCAGCCTCCTCAGCGATGCAGGGTTCCCAGTATCTCAGTGTGGTCTCCCCTCTATTCGTCTGGTTCCTGCTACGTTACGTTAGCGGTATCCCCATCTTAGAAAAGCAGGCCACGAGGAAGTGGGGATCTGACCCCGCCTTCCAGAACTATGTGAAAAATACCCCCCTTCTGTGGCCACTCCCTAAATTTTGATGTCACTTTTATAATGTTTGAACACTGAACAAGAGTTACCTCTCACAAAGAAGCTACGCACGTTCAAATCACTGAAAATGAGTGAGGTTTTTTGTAATTTACTTTTGGTGTCTGCAATTTTTAAATGTAAATTTTTCACATACACCATTTACATAAAAGTCACATTAAATATTTTGTTGGGGCTTTGATCAATATCTGAATATATATATTTTTGTTGAGTATAAAGTCACCTCTGTTTTTACATTCAATGTTTCTACTTTGAGTGCTGGTAATAATTTTGAGCTATTCAGGCGTTATTGGCATTAAGAGTGAAACATGATAATGGGCATCAAGTGGAAATACCATCAGTCCTCAGAGGAGGTGGTATCAGTTACAGGAGTTAGAATTTTTCTTGAGGTTTCCCGATGTTTCTCTTAAGACTTAAAATCCAAACATGGAGTCCTCACACATCAGCAATATTATTGGTTGCAACAATACAAAATTAAAAAAAATAAATAAATTGGCTCTTAGTACACCTAATCATCCTAACGATGTGAGCACAAGCCTCTCCAGTGGCTTTCGAGAATATGGATCACATACTCAACCAGCTTTAGCCCTCCCTTCAGGATGATCCCACATAATGATCCCACATAATGATATTAAAGTAGACTAAATGGGATTGCACCCTCATTTACTGATTAATTTTCAAAATGTAAAGAAGCTACACAAAACAGTCACAGGACAGGAGACATTTTTGTAAATGTATTTTATATGAAATTCAGATAGTGTATTTTTGTTCAAACTGCGTGATTATAGTTTATCAAATAATGCCCCAGTAATTCAACAGGCTAATAGCCCACTGTAATTCCCTTTTGTGCAGGACTGCTTATAAGCAACCTCCCACAGTACAAATATTACACAGATCAATAAACACCCGAGGGTCCGGTGCAGCAGAGGCTACAGCCTGCAGCACAAACTAGTGACCAAAACTTCTGGTAAAAGCTTTGTTGCCTTTCAATGACAATGAGGTCATTGACATTTACTAAAACGAGCCACACCTAGTGAAGCTTGTAGACGATGACCAAGTAGATCTGGTTGAAAGTTGAGTTCTTATTACTACAGTTTGTTATTAAAAAAAAGAAGGAAAAGGTATGCACACTTCTAAATTATATTCACTAAACAAAATACTGTGGGACAATTCAAATTAAAATAAAAACAAATGAAATACAAACATCAACCACACAATCAACTATAACCTAGAATGAAATACCAAAAAAA